GGGAAGGAGCCAACGGCATTAACTCCTGCTGGAGTTCAGCCGCGCCGGAGGAGCCCGGCGGGCTGGGGCGTTCTTGCTTTAGGGAACGCGTGTCCTAATGGCTCTGTCGGTGATTTAAAGAGGGGGGGTGTGATGGGGAATCAAAAAAAGAAAAAGAAAAAGAGAGAGAAGTTATTTTTTCCTTGTGTGCTTAGCATGCAAGTTTCCTCAGCCGTGCCGTGGATCATTAATTCCTGGCGCTTATTACATAACAAATATATGCTCTGCAGACGAGAGACATCTCGAAATGCTTGCAAAGCAAAGCTGGGAGGATTGGGGCACCAGCTCCTTCCCTGCTGCTGCCACGGACATCACAGCAAAGCAGCCAGCACCCTCCCAGGCTGGCATCAAACGGCCTGAACGGCCTCCCTCGTTACTGATGGCTGCGGGTGCCAAGGCAGTTAACCCCTCTCCTGCGGCGCCGACGTGTTTATTTTGTCCGCCGGTTTGTTTACTGTTCAGTCAGTTTGGTGTTGGAGGAGAAACTCTATCAACCTGCAGAAATATTGATTTTATCGACTCCAATCCTAGACTTCCTACAGCTATAGCCAGCGCTCGAGGCTTTATTGGGTGGTTTATTGGGAGGTTTATTTCTGAATGTGAGAGGGCAAGGCCTGGCACCGACTCACCTTTCCCTGCGGGTATCAACAGGCAGCAGAGAGAGAAGGGAGAGCCCTGCCAGGCCCTGAGATCACATATTCCTGCCACACTAAGCCTGCGTGGCCCATGGGTCCGGCTCTTCCAGGAGATCCACACACCTTTGGCAGAGTATAGAAATCCCACTTACCCAGACGGTGCCCTCCTTAATCAGATGGTTTAAGATCTCTTTCAGACCTATTAGGAGGATTTTCACAAAACTCAGCAGAATGTGTTACATTCCTATACCTTTTCACAAGCATTTGCTTTTTTAGCACTGCGGGATACCTACTCATTTCTTTAGCCCCTCCAACTCTGCTACTCTCTTATCTCTCTTCTCAGCCCCCCTGGGCAGGCTGCAGAGCCCTGCAGGGCTCATCCTCGCGCACCCAGAAACGCTCCCTTGGCAGGGCCGAGTCCCCAGAGTGACAGGAAAGGGGGTTCCCTCGACCTCCAACTCCTCCTCTGAGGAAATGCATTTTCTAAATAGCGGACTTCAACACGTTGCTAAAATAACAAATGCCAAAACAAAACAGAAACTAGTGCTCCTGCCTCAAACTGCTAAATTCCACGTGCTTCTTAGGAGAAAAAAAAAAAAAAAAGTTATCTGCTCAGCATTGCTCAGGTTAAGCTGAGATTCAACCCAAGCTTAAAGTCAGCGATGGGCTTTGACAAATAACCAAACTTGAATCTGGATGCAATTTGCACTGGTTCCGCACATGGCTCGGTGTGGCATTCGGCTTCTGCAACAGGACAAATGACTCAGAATCTGCAAAATGCTGTGAAAAGCATCCTATTTCTGCAAACAGACACCCGCAGTGTGCACAGTGGTGAAAACACAGCCATTCATCTTCCTTTGGATTCATAACCCACAAGTCAGGTTGGATAATCCACAGAAAATCTCAATCTATTATAGCAAGAGGCAGGTGTAAGCTTTCTTGGTGTAAGCTTTCTTAGTGTAAACTAGAGCAGCTCCCTCTTAAATTCTGGATGCATGGAGCTGGATTTCCAGCCTGTCGGTTAACAAAACGCTGGGAGGGAGGAAACACCTCTGCCATTGCAGAGAAGTTAGGAAGGTAACAGCAACAGCAGCAAGGAGAGCTATTGGGAGCCTGTTTCTGCATACAGCTACTGCTCCTGTTCCCACTCCCCTCTTCTCCTTTCTCAAAGACTGCATATCCACAACTAAATATAGGGAACACTGGGGTCTCTGTGCTGGTTACAGGGGACAAACCTCGGGTTCAACCATCAGGACACACGCCAGAAACACTGCTGATGCATCTCGCACACAACCTCCCCCTCTCTGCCGCGCTTTCATTGCCACAGAGCCTGATAGCTCGGTAGTGCCAGAGCCAAGCGCAGCAGAGCGAGGAGCTGCCAGCTGGGGTGGCAGTGGCTGCTCAGCCCCCAGCACCTGGACAACTCCGACTGCGCACGCGCCGCAGCAGAGGGAAGGGACTGCGCAGCACCGGCCTCCCGGCTTCGGGGGTATCCCGGCCATTGGCACCGTCCTCTAGAGTGACAGAGGTGAAGAGAGTCTGGGGCCTAACTCAGAGGAACAGGGTAATACAAGAACATGCCAACTGGTCCCTGCAGAAAGGAACGGCCTGCAACTTACCCAAAGGAAGCAGTAATGCACCACAAGCCGTGCTGGGGCTCACTGCCTCCAACAGGACACGCGTGCTGCAAAGGAAACTAGTGCTACACTGGAATAAAACCACCTCCAGCACCTAGACCAGATCAACAGGAAGCTCGAGCCATTTCCAGTATTGTTTTCTAAGCTGAAAAGTGCAAACTTATTCCTTCCTTTCCCCCACGGCCGTGTGCTGCTGCTCCTCTTTCTGAGACGGAAACCGGCTCTCACGCTGTATTTGAAACCTTCCTGGTCGTCTCTGTCCGCGGCCTCCCCTGGGAAGCAGCAGGGTGTGAAGAATCGCACCCAGAGGAATCCCGCTGCCGCTGGCGTGCCGGGTAATCCCGTTAGCCTCATTAGGGCGAGGCGATTGCTGCGATAATGCCGCCAGATCCCCTTAATCCACCAGCCCCGCACGCAGCACGCTGTCGCGGCTCCGGGCAAAGCTGCTCTTTGCGGTCCTGGGGATTTTTACTCATGGAGCTGGGGGTTGGACACTGCTGGAACAAACCTGGGGTTCCTCTGCCCCGACTCCGTGCCGCTGATTTGCGGGACTTCCTTTTCTGCAGTAGCACCTCCCTCAAAGGCGTTAAGACTCCACTCCTCTTGGGTGCTGGGGCAGCGTCTCTGCCTGCGAAGCCGCTGTCCCGGGGACGCCATGCCGGCCGCTGGGCCTGTAGTTCGTTCCGTGGGTGCTGAGCTGAGGTCTCAGATGTGCCGGGGAGCCGCAGAGCCCAGCTGTGAGCGGCAGGAGGAGGCCAAGCACTATGTGGCAAACACAGGCCGCGCTGAGCGGCCCTGCGCGCCGCTGACTGCCTCAGCGTGGGCGGCGTGGGCACGGTGCCCGTCTCTCCTGGGTGCGCTGCCCCCAGCGCGAGGCGCCGGGCGCCTTCCTGCGCTCGCGCCCGGCCATCTCCAAGGCGACGGGCCGGCTCCCGCCAGGCTCCTGGCACTGCCTGGCACGGGAGGACACGGGTGCCCCTCTGCTGCTCCCCGTGCTGCCAGCACTGGGCTCGTTCCCTGCCGTGAGCGAAAACCACAGCAGACAGGACCAGCACCACCTTGTTGCTCCTCAGAGCCCACCTCACGGCAGGGGCACCAGAGCACCAGCTCGGTGACCAAGGCGCTGCGCTGTCCCCAGACACGGCACAGCTACGCGCAGGAACGCCACCATTGCTCCTGACGGACGGCAGAAGCCTAGAGGAGCGGCAGCAAACTGATCAATGTGCATCACTGTGTCCCTCCGAGATCGCTTCCCTCCGATAATGAAGCTGTCGAGGCCTCCGAGTTTCATAAGCGTCCAGAGGAAGCGTGGGATTGATCTGTCCTTTACTGAGGGTTCCTGGCAGAACGTCACAGAAACAATTTCTTAATTCAGCATGTGGAGAAGGGGACACCCGCCGACGCTGAGGAGGTGCCCAGGCCACCCGAGCCGCGTCTCTCGTTGCTCGCGGCCGGCCCTGGCCTCACAACCTCGCTATCACCTCCCTGCACGTGCTGAGCTCCACTGACTCGAGCCCGCTGCCCCTGCTGCTGGCCAAGCAGAAGCTCAAAAGCTGCCAATGCAGCAACTGGGACACAGCATCTCCAACAACAGTGGGGTCCTGCCTGCCCATCTGATGCTCTGTAAGTGCTGGGACATCG